ATTAGCTTGGAGTTCTAATTATAAAATTATTTTTCTTAATGACAGTAATTAATCTCCAAGGAAGATTCAATAAGTAACTAAGCTTCAGTTGCCAAAACTGGAAACGGCAATGGCTTTTTTACTTCTCAGAAACCCGGTTTTTGCCTCTGTGGGCAACTGCACACATGTGGCAGACACTCACACAGGAACACACATACACATAATTAACGTATAGTTTCTGAGGCTAGAGAAATGGTCCAGCAGTTGAGAGCGCTCACGGCTCTTCCAGAAGACCCTCAATGGTGGATCACAACCATCTGTGACTCCAGTTTCAAGAGACATAAGGCTCTCTTCTGGCCTCTGCAGCACCAAGCATACTGCACACACATATATGAAACCAAAGCGCCTATATACACAAAAACTTCTAAGTGCTTTTTAAAAGAAATGAGATGTTCAGGTAAAAATAACCTTCAAGGAAATGATCAGAATAAACAAAGAATACTAAGTACTTTCTGCTATGTCCTAGAATGTAGCCTTACTATGTAGAGTGATGCAGTGTTCTCTTTATAAATCCTAAAAGAGGCTCTATTTTTCAAGGATGTTTGTTTGAAAATGTGATCATATAATGGTATGTAGTAAGGGAAAGTTTTCTGGGTTCTAGTATTACTTTAAAAATTAAAAGCAGTGCCTAAAATATTCTGATACTTTTCTTTTCTGAGACAGGGTTTCTCTGTGGATCAGCCCTGGTTTTAGAGCTTTTGGAGCCTGTCCTGGAACTCTCTCTGTAGAACAGGATGGCCTCGAACTCAGAGATCTGCCTGCCTCTGCCTCTTGAGTGCTGGGATTAAAGAAGCATGGCACCACCGCCTGGTCTGATGCCTCATTTATGAGGTGTAGAGACAAGGAACTAAAAGTAGTGTTTTGTACTTAAGAATGAATATAAATGAGGGGCCAATAATTTCTGTTTTGATCTGCACTTGCTCTTCTAATTATACAGTCTTTGTCTTCTTAGCAGGAAGCAGTACCCAGCTTTCAATAGACATACCTTCATTATATAGGGGACGTTTTTAAATTTTATTTTGTGTGTATGGAGGTTTTGCCTGCATAAATGTCTGTGTACCACATGTGTATAGAAGAGGGGCATCAACTTAATTTCTTAAAATATTTTTTATGGACCCAGGTGGTGGTGGTGCACGCCTTTAATCCCAGCACTTGGGAGGCAGAGGCAGGCAGATCTCTGTGAGTTCGAGGCCAGCCTGGTCTACAAGAGCTAGTTCCAGGACAGGCTCCAAAGCTACAGAGAAACCCTGTCTCGGGAAAAAAAAAAAAAAAAACACCAAAATTCCTTTCAAGATATTTCATAATTTATATATTTGTACAAACTCTTTGTTTGTGTATTCAGCATTTACTGCATTCTCACTATATGCCCAACAATATAATGGTTCATAGGGACAAAAAGGCAATTTTTTAACTTAATTTAAAAATTTTTTATTTATATACGAGTATTCTGCATGCATATATGTCTGTGCACAATATACATGACTAGTGCCCTCAGATGTCAGCAGACAGCACCAGATGGGACTAGACTTACAGATGTTTTGAGCCACCATGTGGATGCCAAACCTCAAAACTGGGTCTTCTGGCCATTGAGCCATCTCTCCGGCCCAAAGGGGCACTTTTTAAGAAGAAACAAGTCTGGTGCAAGGCTCGGGGGGTGAAAACAGGAAGATTTTGGGTTTGTAGCTAGCCTGGGCTACACGGAGTTAGAGGCCAGTCTGGACTAACAAGGTGCTGGGGGGGGGGGGGGGGGGAGATAGCCTCTTTACAGTCCTTCAAACTGCAGTATGGTTATGTCAGTAAGATGCAATTATTATACGCCCAGATTTTTATTTTCGTTCTTATTTTATTAGTCTAGGTATTTTGCTTGAATGTTGTCTGTGCACCAGGTGCATGGCTGGTGCCCATGGAGACCAGGAAAGGGGAAGAAAAGAGAGGCCCTGGAACTGGAGTTACAGACAGTTGTGAGCGATCATGTGGGTACCGGGATCAAGCCTGAGTCCTCTGCAAGAGCGGCCAGTGTTCTTAACAACTGTGTCATCTCTCCAGCCCCCAGGATTTTTGTTTAGCACAATAATTATTTTCAAGATCATTATGTATTTTTCATAGTATTTATTGGTATGTTTACTTATTTACTAAGTTTTTTTGAAGCAGGATCTCATAAAACCCAGAGTGGTCATGAATTTGCTAAATAACTGAGGTTGGCCTTGAGCTTTGCCTCCTCCTATCTCCACTTCTCCAAGTGCTGGGATAATAGGTACTTACCACTTTTCCTGAGTTTAGAGCTGTTTGCTTCAACAGTTACATAGTATTTCATATGAAACAGATATTTTCCTCATCTGCTGTCTTATTTTTATCTATTTAGACTACTGAACCACATACTGTTGTCAGTGAGGTTTGATACTGAGACAATGTTAAAGCGTCCACTTATTCACTTGACCCACGTTGGCCCTTAGCACACTCTATGTTGAGTGCATGTGTGGACACACATGTAGGTACCTGTGTGCATACAGTGTGTGTGCACTTATGCGTGTGCACAGGAAGCCTGATGTAATTCCTGATGTTTTCTGAGAGAAGGCCTCTCTCACTAGGACCTAGGCTTGCTGGACAGCGAGCTCCATTCTCTGCCTGTCTGTCTCCCCAGAGCTGAGATTGCAAGCCCATGCCAATGTGACCGGCTTTTTCTTTTTTTATGAGTTCTGGGGACAGAACATTTTTGCCGTTAATTATGGGACAGTCTAGTCATTATAGCAGTTCAATTACTGCTTAGCTGAAAAGTCCTTTTAGCATTTCAAAATTAGAGCTGGAAAGATGGCTTGATGGGTTAAAGCATCTAATGCTCTTGCAGAGAATCCAAACTTTGGATCTCAACACCACACAGAGCAGCTTACAACCACTTGTAATGCTACCGTTTCCTTCTGGCTTCCTCTGACCCTTGCACTCACAGCCTCAAGCAGATTCTTAGGACAAGGGCAAAAAGCACCACATTCTTTGCCAAGATATCACAAAAATGGACTCTAGGCTAGTCACTACTATTATTCCCCTCTGAACCCTCTTGCGCTTGTCTGCCAAAGCCCACATCACTCTCAGCACTACTGTCTTCCCAGCTCCTAGTGTGAGCTTCCAATGACCTAGTATGGCCATTCAACCACTTACAGCATTAAACCACTCTCTTAATACAAAGTCTCATACATTCCCCCAAAAATACCTGTCACAGCAACATGCCATTCCCTGGTACCAACTTCTGCCTTTGCTAATTTTCTATTGCTGTAAAAATACTCACAACCAAGGTAACTCATAAAAAAACCAGTTCATTGGGGACCATCATGGTGGGGAGTATGGGGCAGGCAGGCATGGTGCTTAGCAGCAGCTGAGAGCTCACATCTGATCCACAAGCACAAGGCAGGGAGCTAACTGGGAATGGTGTGTCCACCCCACCAATGACACACTTCCTTCCCAAACAGTTCCACCATCTGGAAACCAAGCCCTCAAACATGTAAGCCTATGGAGTCATTCTCATTTAAACCACCACAGTAAGTATGTCACAGATGTAAGCATATTTTAAAATCCCTGTCTATATCAGTAAGCTGTATTGCAAGTCTCAATTACACAATCCTTTATTTTTCCTCTATAGTTACATGTATATCCTTTATAAAGGACATTGTTGTTAATGTTTATTTTGTTTGGTTGGCTTTTTTGTTTGTTTATTTGGGGTGTTGGTCTTTCATTTGAGACAGGGTCTCACCATGGAGCTCTGGCTGGTCTAGAACATGCTACGTAGACCAATTTGGCCTCAAACTCACATAGATTGACCTGCCTCTTGCCTACCAGTGCTTGGACTAAAGGTGTGTGCCACAATGCTGGTTGTTGTCTGTTTCTTGAGTTACAATTTCTCTATATTTCTCACACTAGACTTTACTATATGACCTCAAGTGGCCCTTCTTCCTTAGCCTCCAGAATAAGTTGGACAACGGGCACACGCCTCCAAACTATAGCTATAGTTTCCTTTTTCTTTTATTTTTTTGTTATTGTTTTATTTTTCAGACAATATCTCATTGTATAGACCTGGCTGGCCTAGAACTTGCTATGTAAACCAGGTTGGTGTCAAACTCACAGAGAGCCACCTGCTTCTGCCTCCAATGTCATTGGGGGTGGTGCTGGGTAAGATTAAGGACATGCACTGATGGAGGAAGGTCATTGGCCAATAAAGAAACTGCTTGGCCCTGTGGGTGGAGTAAACAGAACAAAATGCTGGGAGGAAGAGGAAGTGAGGTCAGAGTCTCGACATCTCTCCTCTCGGGAGCAGACGCCTGAGAGAGACGCCATGCTCCCAGCTCCCAAACAGACGCACGCGATGAAGCTCCAACCCAGGATGGACTAGGCTAGAATCTTCCCGGTAAAACCGGTTCTTACAGATTATTAGAGATGGGTTGATCGGGATGTGAGAATTAGCCTGTAAGTGCTAGAGCTAAAGGGCCAAGCAGTGCTTAAAAGAATACAGTGTCTGTGTAATTATTTTGGGGCATAAGCTAGCCGAGCAGGCGGCCGGGGTGCTGGGAACGCAGCCCCGCCGCCGCTCTTATTACTACAATGCACCACCACAACTACTTGTAGTTTTCTTGATATCACTAATTCCCTTCCTTAAGGTTTTGGTTTTTTGTTTGTTGAGAGACATCTTGTTATGTGGTCCAGACTAGCCAAGAATTGACCAGGTAGCTCAGGCTGGCTTGCAATCCTCCTGCCTCAGTCTCTGGAGTTCTGGGACTACAAGCACACACCACCATTTCCTGAGACTTAGTTGTTGTATACTGATGCTTTGCTGGTGCTTGTAAATCTCTCTTGGGGCTTTAGATAAAATTTTTACAATGCTAGAACTCTCCCTTTCACTTCCACTAATCTTGAATGTTTATCTGTTTTATATTTTCATAGAGCAAGGAATTATAAAGAAGTACTGAAATACTTACTGAGTGGTGTTGTATCAGGAGGTGGAAAATTCTCAGTAAAGTTGACATTACATAGATCTGTACTACAGCAGCAAAAGCGGTATGTCCCATTCTGAATAGAGGGTGGGGTGGTAGTTACAACACATTCTTCATAGTGACACTCTTGGGGATCCCCAATGTGAGACCAACACCCTACAAAACAATATTAAATAATATTAAAATAAGCTGGGAAACAAAACAGTAAGTAAAACCGCAAACTATGAAATAATTGCAGTAATATAAAACTAAGTAATATATAAGTCATAAAACAACCTGAAAAAATGGTAAAGAATACAACAGACATTTCATGAGGGAAAAGCAACCAACAACATGGTTATGATTAACTTCACTATTATAATAAGAATTATTTCCAAAACTGCCATCAAACTATTTTAGTTTAAGTTGTCCTAATTTTTAAAATAACAATATGCAATCATAACCAAGTGTTAGTGACAGTTGCTCTCATACAATTCTATAATAAATGCATGTATGATGGAAATTTTGGAAAAATCCATAGCAATTTTGATGTAGAAACTTTAAAGTAATCATACATGTTATGATCTACTAATTCTACATCAAAGAATCTACTTTAAAAAAATCAGACACAACCTTTATATATGTTTAGAGTTTTTCACTGCAGGATAACGCATTTCAGTGAAAACCTTGAAACAGCATCTTATCCAAAGCACGTGAGTAAACTGTGAAACATCTACATAGGAAATACGGTGCTGAGGGACAATGTTTTCAGAAATTATTTACAATAACGTGGGGGGAATAGCATGGAATTACTATATAGCATTATCCTATATACAGATATATATGCATTGTTTACATTCTTATTCACCACGTTCTGGGGAGGGTTTTCATCTACCCACACATCTTTGCTAGACAAGCTCCAACTGTAGGAAAAACAATGCTGAAGATACGGCCCTGTGGGCAAAGATCTGTCTCTGTGCATGGCATCCTGTGTTTGACTCTCTGCACCAAAAAGACAGAGAGAGAGAGAGAGAGAGAGAGAGAGAGAGAGAGAGAGAGAGAGAGACAGACTTGCCTTGTTTCACAAGATTGATGTCCCCTTTGGATTTCTCCCACAGGCCATAGCACGTGCTCCCTTTGGAGCACAATATTGTCCCGTTTTCATGAGAGATTCTGCTCTCACCTATCCCAAGGTCTTGTTGATAGGGATCTTTAAATGCACACAGCCGTTCTTGATTCTGGGAAGCTAAAAAAAAACAGGAAATAACACAATGATAAACTGATGCTACTTTGATAATACGATTGACTATGAGAATCTGTAAGATTTCTTTATTAATATACAACACAATTTTTAAAAAATTATAAATTTTCCTACTAAATCCTTCAAATTTCATTGCTGAATAAATTTATACCCAATAATTTCCTTTTTCAAGATTTATTTTTATTATTGCGTGAATGTGTGTGTGCGCAGGGGCCCCGGAGAGGCCAGGGAAGGTGGATGGTCCGGTGACTGGGGCTACAGGTGACTGTGAGCTGCCTGACACAGTTGCTGGTAACTGAACTCGTGTCCTCTGTAAGAGCAGTGACATGCTTTCAACTCCTGTTGTCTCTATCCACAGCCTCGGGCAATTTCCTTTTGCACGTTAATTTTTACATCCATGCAAGAACTTCTCTAAAATGTTTCCTGAAAAGAGACTTCTTTTACTCATGTAACTCTTATTACTATTTCTACTATTAAGTATTTTTGCTGTTCAAAAAAAAGAAAGACCTTGTTCAATGGGCTTGGTATTGTACACATTTAGTCCCAGGACTGAGGTGGCAGAGGCAGGCAGATCTCTGAGAGCCCTAGGCTAGCCTGGTCTCATAGTGACTTTCAGGACAGCCAGAGCTACAAAATGAGACCCAACCTCAAAAAAAGAAATACCATGTTCTAAATCAACCTTTAAAACAAAGAGGTAGCCGGGCGGTGGTGGCGCACGCCTTTAATCCCAGCACTCGGGAGGCAGAGGCAGGCGGATCTCTGGGAGTTCGAGGCCAGCCTGGTCTACAAGAGCTAGTTCCAGGACAGGAACCAAAAAGCTGCAGAGAAACCCTGTCTCGAAAATCAAAAAAAAAAAAAAAAAAAAAAAAAGCAAAGAGGTAGTAGGCTGGGTATGGTGGTGCAAACCTTTAATCCCAGCACTTGACAGGCAGAGACAAGGTGGATCTCTGAGTTCAAAAGCAGCCTAGTCTGCATAGCTAGTTCCAGGCCAGCCAGGGCTACATAGAGACCTTGCCTTAAACAAACAAACCCTAAGAGCATAAGAATTCTAGCAAATATTACAGTATTCAATTCTATCATTTTACAGTCATTTGTATAAAGCCACATTATTAGTCATGATAGGCTGAGGTGTGAGAATAATGAAAAATGGATATATGGTTTCTTTTCAGGGTGACGTATGTGTGTTTTAAAATTATGCTGTGGTAATGGCTACATAAATATCACATTAACAGAAAGAAATCATGGAATACTTTACCTCAGATCAATGAATTTCATGATATACAGATCATGTCTGAGTAAACATACATGTAATATATGTATTTTTTATTATTATGTATAATTTATTTATTTATTATGTATACAATATTCTGTCTGTATGCCTGAAGGCCAGAAGAGGGCGCCAGACCTCCTTACAGATGGTTGTGAGCCACCATGTGGTTGCTGGGAATTGAACTCAGGACCTTTGGAAGAGCAGGCAATGCTCTTAACCACTGAGCCATCTCTCCAGCCCCCTAAAGGGACAGGGACAGTCTTACTTTTTAGGCCTGACTGGCCTAGAACTTTCTCTGTAGACCAGTCCGGCCTCAAATTTACAGAGATCCACCTGCTCTGCCCTTGAGTGCTGGGATTAAAGATGTGCACTACCACTCTTGCAAAATAGGTTTTTAAAACTGAGAGTACTTCTGAGCAAAAAGAAAATGGTTTTGCATTACTTAAAACAGCCAGATGAAGAAATGTTCAATGGCTCCTCATATTTAAGGGACAATCTAATGCAATTTAATGGCAAACTCTCTTTCTTCATATATATCCATGTGATTTAACTGATTCCAATAGAGCATTTGCCATGTAACTCAGTGATTAACAAACATTAGCCAGCATTGTAAAAATATCAAAAAAGTAAAAGGTTATCAAAAAGCAACATCTGATCTTTAATTTCTTAAGACAGACTTTCCTAATGTTTGAGTAGCAAGGATAATCACTAGGAATACCAACAGTTTCTTAGGACTTTCTGCACCCATTTTGCATTTGAGGTGTACAGAATTGAACAGTACAATTCAGGAGCATTTTAGCAAAGTATATTACTTATCAAAATAATGTATTTTTTGTTATTTTTTGCTTTTTGTGCTTCTTTAAGCTAGGGTTTCTCTGTGTTGCTTTGGAGCCTGTCTTGGAACTAGCTCTTGTAGACCAAGTGGCCTCAAACTCACAGAGATCCTCCTGTCTCTGCCTCCTGAGTGCTGGGATTAAAGGCGTGCGCCACCACCACCTGGTCAAAATAGTGTTTCTGAACGTAACAAAGAAGTCTAGAAAAGGAATGACAGGGCTTAACATCTGTGTGTCCAGCCAATTCACACAAACAGACCTGTCAAAATTATTGGTATGCAAAGTACTTTCCAATTACTGGGCCAAGTAACAGACTAGATAAGGAAAGCTGCAGTTACCAAATCTTTGGTTATATAGTTTATTCAGACAAACCAAACCAGACAGCAATTAATGGAAAAGAAATGTGGCTTGATGTATATACTTTTAAACTACGTTTCAACCTTCTAGAAGACAGACACACTAATATCTAAAGAGCACAATATATGTGTAGTGCTACCGATTAGAGAAACAGGTATGCCAGGAGATGGTGGCACACACCTTTAATCCCAGCACTTGGGAGGTAGAGAGTTGTTTGAAGACAGCCTGGTTTAAAGAGCGAGTTCCAGGACAGACTCCAAAGCTACAGAGAAACTCTGTCTCAATAAACCAAAAGGACAGACAGACAACTGGGATAGAAGGCAGCCTCACTGGCAGGGTGGCAACTGCTCCCTTCAGATTAACACAGCATTTCAAGAGGAAACAGCACCAGGAAGTAAGGGCTCTGCTCAGAACACGAAAATGCAGACTCCAAATCAGCCCTTCACATCTTTCGTGAAAGACCAGTGCACTACAGAAGGGAAGCCCGTTATCAGAGTCTGGTAAAAGCTGAGAAAAGTAAAGCAAATTTGCAGACGAAACAGGGTTTCTAGGGCGTCTGGAAGCCCGGGAAGGAATGCAGTGAGAGCTGCACTGGAGTAAATAAGAGATGGTTGTTTACATGAACGGTATTCTGTTCTGGGGTGGGGTAACTAGGACTGGGGCTCAACACCATTCTAGCAGAGGGAAATGACACTTCAACCTGAACAATCTAATCGCTTCTTGAACACTGCAAGCAGTTCCCCTGAAAGAACAAGGATGAGAAAAAACAATGAGAAAATTCCAACCAGTGACCTAACCCTAGATGTTCAAGTCCTGATGCAAAAAAACACAATAAACACGGAAATAAAGGCAAAGTGAGTCCTCCAAAAAGTAGCAACTCCACAGCAATGGTTTCTAAAATGTCTCAAACTATTCCACAGAACAGAAATGGGAGGAATAGTACCAACCTCTTCTTATAAAGACATAACGAATAAGGAAAAATTACTGACCAATTCCCCTGCTTAACACAGATGCAAAAGTTCTCAAAAAAAAAAAAAATACCAGCAAAAAGAATTGAAGAACACACCAAAAAGCTCATTCACCACGATAGAGAGGGAGGGATGACTCAACATACGTAAGTCAATACATGTAACAATCACATCAATGGCCTCAAGGAGAGAGATCATTTTCATCCCAACAGATGTATGTATTTTGACAAAATCCTTTCACAAAAGCCCTGAATAGACTTACATATGACAAAAATATAGCCAATATTAATTGTACTAAATAGTAAAACCTGAAAGCATTTCCACTAAAATCAAGAACAACACAAGGGCATTCACTTTTTGATGTGTGTGTGTGTGTGTGTGTGTGTGTGTGTGTGTGTGTCCTAAGGATCAAATTCAGGTCATACAAGTACATACACCTGTTGAGCCATCTTGCAGGAAGGAATGTCCCTTTCTCCACTTTTTTCCTGAGACAGGATCTCACTGTGTAGACCTGGCTGGCAAGGAACTCTACTGATCCCTGCCTTCCCAGTGCTGGGATTAAAAGCATGTGCCACCACACCTAGCTCACTTTTTCCATTCTTACTCAACATACTGATGGATGTCTTAGCTGGACTGATGAGTCAAGAGAAGGAACGAGGGGCTGGAGAGATGGCTCAGAGGTTAAGAGCACCAACTGTTCTTCCAAAGGTCCTGAGTTCAATTCCCAGCAACCGCATGGTGGCTCACAGCCATCTGTAATGAGGTCTGGTGCCCTCTTCTGGACTGCAGGCATACAGACAGACAGAACACTGTCTTTAAAATAAATAAATAAATAAATAAATAAATCTTTTTTAAAGAAGAGAGAGAAGGAACAAGGATACAAAAAGGAAAAGGTCAAACTATCCTATTGCAGATAACAGTCTACAGTTCTTAGATACATGGAAAAAATGTTAACCTCCCCCAGCCATTAGAGAAATGCAAATTAAAACTACACTGAGGTTGAGTGGTGGTGGTGCAGCTTTAATCCCAGCACTGGGGAGGCAGAGGCAGGCGGATCTCTGTGAGTTTGAGGCCAGCCTGGTCTACAGAGTGAGTTCTAGGACAGCTAGAGCTACACAGAGAAACCGTGTCTTGAAAGACAAAAAAAAAAATCTAAATATTGCTCCATCTTTCATGATATATAGTTTTTTATGATTTTATACTGAATACAGATAAATAACAATACATGTTTGTTAGTTATCCATTAAAATATGGATAACTGACAAATAACTACAAGTAGACAAAAGGAGAAATGTAGGGTGAGCTGCCTGGTGGTAACTGACAAATGCTGAATGAATACGCGTCCAATCATAAACTATCAACTATCAAGTCAAAGAATAGAGTTTGCTCAATCCACGAGGAAGACTTAAACTAAGGGGGAAAGGAGGACTCCAACAGAGACAAAACAACCGTGGGTTTATCAGCAGGCCATCTTATTTAATCTAACACTTTGAGAAGAGGCTGTATTTTTTCTGTCTACAAAGTATGATATCTATAAATCTGAAATTCAAGAAATTA